TGCCTTCTACCACTCAGTATAACCTTCCAGCTCTACAGGTAAATTTTGAATGCATTCTTTTTTCCTTTTTTTTTTCTTTGGTGGTACTGGGCTTTGGATTTTGGGCTTCCCACGTGTGAGGCAGGTGCTCTACCACTTGAGCCACTTTACCAGCCCTTTTTTGTGCAGGGTATTTTCAAGATAGCTTCTCGAGAACTATTTGCCTGAGCTGACTTGGAACCACAATCCTCCTGATCTCTGCCTCCTGAGAAGCTAGGATTACAAGCGCTAGGATGCCAGGCTTTGAATGTATTCTAAAACTTATCAGTTTAAAACTGACTTCTACATTACTTTCAGAACTCACAACTATGAGAGGATGGCTGTTTTGTGATGCTTAATGCAACAATGTTACTAGACTATCTGCTGTCCTCCCAAAAGCTAACTTTTAAACAATATAGCTTTTAAATTTTTGTCAAGTAATACACAACAGTAACATACTATCTAACACAGGTTAATGATACTTTTGAGACTAGGATCATTCACAACCTCTAAAGGGTCAGTTTCTTCATCTGGAAAATAGAACAAAACCAAATAACTGCTAAACAGTTAGCCCTAAAACTATGCATCTATGTAATCATCTCTGGAATGAATCTTAGGAAAAGTAAAATTTTTTCAAATTATCATTCACTTTCAATAATCAAGTTTTTTTTTTAAACCAACATTAACGCAAAGTATTCATTCAATGATTATTTGTTATGCACCTAGCTATGAGCCAGCTGGCAGAACCTACTGAGAGAATTCAAAACTTGTATTCATGAAGCTTTCAGAGAAGGTAGGGAGACAAACCAAATAAACATATGGACAAATGTAATACCACAACTTGTAGTAAGTTACATGAAGGAGTTAAGAGAACCCAGTGGGAAATCTTTCTGGTTTACAAAAATATAGCTCAGCTCTTTCAAAGACATACTCTAACAATTATTTTCAAAGTTTCACAATAGTTTAGTTACTTATTGTAATTTTGATTTTTTGAGGACAGGGTTTCACTATGTAGCTAAGTCATCCTCAAATTCACAATCTTCCCTTCCACATGCTGGGATTAGAGCTACACTATCATGCTCATAGTAGTAGTTTTTCTTTATGTTAAAAAAATGTTGTCCTTTCTCTACAAAAACAAAAACAAAAACAACTAAGCTGGGCACCAGTGGCTCACACCTGTAATCCTAGCTATTGAGGAGGCAGAGATCGGGATGATCACCATTTGGAGTCAGCCGGGGCAAACAGAGAGACCATATCTTGAAAAAGCCCATACAAAAAAGGGCTGGTGGAGTGGCCCAAGGTACAGGCTCTAAGTTCAAACCCCAGTACCGCAAAACAAAACAAATTTAAAAAAATCCAACTCTCATTGACTCCCTTCGCTCTTCTTTTTTCTCTGTTCAAAACAAAATAAAAATCACAACACAACTCTTTGGTTCTACATACTTTAGAGTCCTTAGAAGCAAGCTATATACAAGAACCAAAATATGGCCAGGTGCTGGTGGCTCATGCCTGTAATCCTAGTTACTTAGGAGGCAGAGATCAGGAGGATTGTGGTTCGAAGCCAGCCCTGGGAAATAGTTCTCAAGACCCTATCTTGAAAATACCCAACACAAAAAGGGCTGGCAGAGTGGCTCAAGTGGTAGAGCACCTGCCTAGCAACCTGAAGCCGAGTTCAAACGTAAGTACTACAAAAAAAAAAAAAAAAAAAAACACTAAAATTGGGTTGGGATGTAGCTCAATGGTAGAGTGCTTGCCTAGCATTCATGAGGTCCTGGGTTTGAGCCCCAGCACAAAATAAATAAATTAAAATAATATAGAGCTGGGGACATGACTCAAGTGGTCTGCCTAGCAAGCACGAGGTCCTGAGCCCTGAGTTCAAACCGTAGTAGCACTATATATAAATAAATAGATAAATAGGATGTTATGGTTCTGCCACTAACCAGCCCTATTGCTGATCTTGCTAAGTGTGGCTTGGCTCCTTGGGCCTATCTTTTGTCTTCTGTTAAGGAAGGGGAGGTTCCAAAATTTCATTTCAAATTCTTCTATCATATTATGGATCCAGGTGGATGGGGTGGCACAATGGGGGTGGAGGTGGGGTGGGGGGGTGAAGTAATCCCCAGCACTTGAGAGGTTGAGACAGGAGAATTTCAAGTTTGAGGTCAACTTTGGCTAAAAGTGAGACTCTGGACTCAAAATAGATACATAAATAAAAAAAATAAAACCATGGTTCCACTATAATAAAGCTTAGGATGAAAAATCCTAAAAACTGAAGAAAAGGGCTGGTGGAGTGGCTCAAATGGTAGAGTGCCTGCCTAGCAAGCAAGAAGCCCTGAGTTCAAAGTTCAAACCCCACTACCACCAAAAAACCACTCCAAATACTGAAAATAAATCAAAAAATAATTTAAAAGAAAAAATCAAATATCTTTGAATTTATTTGAATAAGATTTTGTTTGTTTTTAGGCCATCATATATACATATATATCATTGGAAGTTGTTACCATTATAATAAACTACTGAAAATATAAACACTTACCTCTATTATTCTAATAAAAACTGTCAAAATTTAAGACAGTTAAATATAGTTAAAAATCTACAGTTCCAAAAATATCTGGGGGCTGGGAACATAGCTCGGGGTAATGGTCAATTCCCAGTACCACTGGGGGGGGGGGAAATCTGGGGTGGGGATATAGTTCAATAGAAGACTATGTGCTTAGCATGATCAAGACCCTGGGTTCTGGGCTAGGAACATGGCTCAAGTGATAGGACAACTGCTTAGCAAATGAAAGGCACTGAGTCCAAATCCTATCCCCAGCATCACTAACTAGATAAATAAATAAATAAATAAATATTTACATTTTCAATGAGACATGATACTTAAACTGAACAGGAATCCCAAAAGTAGGCACTACATAGAGAAAGAAAAGTAGGATGAATATATAATTAAAAAATTATACACTTATACTCCCAGCCCTCATTCAAGGCCAGACTGGGATACACAGGGAGACCTGTCTCAAAAAAAAAAAAAAAAAAAAGAAAGAAAAGAAAAGAAAAAAAGGTAGGAAGACATTAACTTTTAACTTCTAACTCAATAATCATCCTAGACTTCACTTTACTTCATCAGAAGTATTTTCAAGTGGAAAATGTGTATGTCATAACTTTCTACTTTTAAAATCAGATTATTCACACTAGAATTTGAGGTTTTCAACATTCTCCCTTCCAGGTACTAATCAGGCCCAACCCTGCTTAGCTTCTGAGATCAGATAAGATCAGGCGCGTTCAGGGGGATGGCCATAGACAGTTTTCAACATTCTTAATTTGAAAACTTAGCAAAAAATTAAAGACCTATAAATTTACGTAACAGTTTTTCAGATTCTCACTCAATATAACTTTAAACCTCATCAGCTATGTACTTCAATTGATGCATAATCTTTAGTGTCAAGATTTGTTTCAGGCTGGGTGTATAGCTCAGTGATAGGGTGCTTCCATAGCATAAGTGAGGACCTGGGTTAAATTCCCCCTATCACCACCAAAAAAAGAAAAGATTTGTTTTAACGAAAGAAACTGTTTAATTTCTTCCAAAAAGGCAACAATTGGAAACTAAACCACTGGAGTACTTTAAGACATCTGTCCCATTGTACATATTTGCTAGAAACTATACTGTAAGCTCTAACAGCACATAGGAGAAACAAAAATACATTTCACCAAGTTGGACAAGGTAGAAACATTGTCAACATTGTTTCTTCCCTCACCTCCCACAGAATCTGATTCTAACTTTGAAACATTCCTTTTCTCTATTCCCACTGACAATGCCCTACTTCAAGCGCTTAACATCTTTCACCTAGACAGTTGCCTAGATGGACTCTTTCCCTACTCCAGACTAACCCCAACTGTGACAAACACAATGCCTATTGCCTCCAACATCCCCTGAGGATCACTATTGGATTAAATGAGAATCACTGCTTCAGGTTGATGACAAAACAGGAGTAACATTCATTTGGTAAGACTGGCCTCAGTCTATATCCATGGAACAGAAAAGCAAAAAACTAACCAATATAAAGGTTGAAGCTAACCTTGATCTTAGGACCACCACACTTCCATGAAATAAGCTGAGATCTCATAAGAAGATCCATAATATTATTTCTTCAATTCTTTTTGAGCACATGTGTATTTACATCTTACTTTAAGCCCGAATTTTGACACATCAGGACTATCAAAGTTTAACCACATTATATGCATTTTTAAGCTTCTGAATATAAGAAAATTGTGAGAAGTTTTAAAAAGGTCTTTTGTGCTTAAATCAGTCGTCTGAGAAGCTGAAGAAAATAGGAACTTTCCTACACTTAGGGTTGCAAGCCACTTAAACAGTAGTCTCACTAGAATATTTATAGAAAAGAAAAAAAAAAAAACTTCAAAAACACATGAGTTCTTAATACTTCAACAACGGATAAAAAGCCAGGCACAATGGTTCACATCTGTAATAGTACTAAGTACCGGGGAGGTGGAAACCCGGAAGTTCCACGCCAGCGGGGCTTTGGGAGACCCCACCTCACCCAATAAAAGCTGGGCGTGGAGGTGAGAGCCTGTCATCCTAACTATTCAGAAGTGTAAAGAGGAGAATCCAGATCCAGGCTGGCCCAGGCATAAACAGGAGACCCTTTTGGAAAAATACCAAAAGGCTGGAGGTGTAGTTCAAGTGGAGAATGCCTGCTTGTCAAGAGCAAGGCCATGAGTTCAAACCCCAGTACCTCCAAAAAAAGGAAAAACGGATTTAAAAAAGACCTCACACTCCCTTTTAAATTTCCCATCATGCTTATGTCCCAAGAAGCTAAGACAGAACAATACCTTTTCAGAGGGGATAAGAGGAGACGAGAAGATATCTAAAAACTGCAGGAAACTCCAAAGGCCAGGCCAGACAGTGCAGTGACAACCCGGACGCGGGAGGGGGGCGACACGTGGAGCGCACGGCATCTGCGGACGCTTACCTTCAGCCGCTTGATCATTTCGTCCGTGGTGATCTTGTCTGTGATCTCCTTCACCCCCGGCGGGTAAGCGATCTTCCCGTCGGCGCTCACGACGCCACAGAGGGCAGTGGCAGGCTTGGGCTGCGCGGTGAAGTCCATCCTGGGGGACAACTTTTCTTTCACAGTCCTCTACCGGCCTCTATCGGTCAGAAAACCAAAGTTCAGCGGGAAAGGGGCGACTTTGTAACCTCTTTTTGCATTTCAAAAATCTCTAATCTGGAAAGGGCCCTTTCTCGGCAGAGGCCGGGGACCCAGCGGTGTCTGTCCACCCGCTGGGTCTCGGGGTCCTGGGACCCTACCCGCCGCCCGCCGCCCCCACCCACGCCGAGCCAGAGCCCCCGGGGGCTCCCCGGCCCGAGCCGGCGCTGCCGCGGAAGGCACCGAGCAGCCCCGGAGTTTCCCATTCCGCCTTTCACAATGAAATCCACCTCTGAGCACCAGCATCCGAAGTTTGGTGGCTTCGGGTGGCCAGCGAGGAGCCCGAGGCCCCCGCTGGGCCAGAGAGAGGCAGCGAGTCTCCACCCGGCCGGGGAAGAAGACGCGAGGCCTAGAGGGCTCGGCTTAGGCCGCAAAACTAGGGACCCAGGTGGCCCGGCACGCAGCGGCGGCGCCGTGAACAAAACGCCCTTGCCAGCCCTCCCTGGGCCGCGGCTGTCTCCACCGCGCTCCGGCCATCCCCGGGCCGCTCCCCACCCCGCAGGAGGGGACCCGAGCCGCCCGCGCCCCCAGCCCCGCGCCAGGAAGCGGCTGACGCGGCTCCGCACTTCACATTTTGTTCCATTAACTTCGGCACGGGGACCCTGGTGGCTTCTGGCGCCTCCTCGCCGCCGGGCACCGCCGAGGCCTGAGCGGCACTTCCAGGGGGGACCCCGCCAGGCCTAAGACCCGCGCACCCCCTCCGCTGTTCCCTTCCGTCCCCTCCCTCCACCAGCCGAGGGCGGGAGCCCCGCCGCCGCCTTTACCTCGTCCTCATGCGGGCGGAAGGTGCATCGAGCGCCCGGGCCTCTGTCAGGTGGTTGCGCCGCCGCCCCTCGCCGGGCTGCACACAAAGCGGCTCCGCGGGTCCCGCCGCCGCCGCCGCCCGCCCGCCTTCCCCGGAGCGGCGCTGGGGCTGGCGGTGCCGAGGAGCAGCCGCCGCGGGGGGAGGCGCGGGGCGAGTGTGCGCGGGGCGGGGAGACACTGCCGCTCTCCGTCCGGCTGGGGAAGAGCAGCCTCGGAAGAGGTTCCTCCAGGAGCGAGCGCGCGGATGTGCGCCCGGGACCCCCGACCCCCTCCCCCCCGCGGCCCGCCCGCCTGCACCGCACCGCGCGCCCACCCCGACCCCGACGTCCTCCCCCCCTACCCCTGACACCAGCAGCCGCGCGCGCCCGGCCGTCCGTGTCCCCGGGAGCCGGCGCCCAGCGCGCAAGCCGGCCGGTCACGCGAGCGGCGCGAGAGCACGCGAGAGCAGCGCGCGCCGCGCTCCCGCCCCTTCCTCCGCCGGCCTCGCCTCCGCCTCCCTCGGGCCCGCGGCGGCCGCGCGCGCGGGGCGCACAGCGCCGCCACTCGGTTGGCGCCAAGACCTGCGGCGCGGGCGCCTCCCGGAGGACCGCGGCCCAGAGGGCGAGCCGAGGAGAAGGAGGAGGAGGAGGAGGAGCAGCCCGCCCCCGTGGCGGGAAGTGAGCCCCGGTCCGCGCTTCCCTGCCAGGGACGCCTGGCGGACACGCTACTGCCTGTGCCCGCGACATGAGTTCATGACTTTTGCAGGGTAGTCTTGAGGAATCTGGACACCACCGGTTGAAAAATGGTTAATGACTCCGTGGATAAAAAGAGATCCGATTTCCTCCCTGGGGGCAGAGCTACAAAGTAAGGGAAAGTTTTTGAAACTTGGCACAACGTGGCTGCTGATTCTTGTGTCTTCTGACAGCCACTCAAGATCGCACCTGCCGACCTCAGACTTCCAAGATCAATGTTTCGAAAGCTACAAAATACGAAATTAGCTTTGAGAAGTTCTCAAGGTGTGGTTTAGGGACTGCTGGCCTCCCAACCACTTTGGGTATGGACTGAAAACACAAGTTTCCACCCCTAAACCTACAGAATCTCTGACAGTGGAACACAGAAAATAAAGCATTTTTGTAAATTAGCTAGGTGAATGTGGAAGACCTCATTTTTTAAAAGGTTATATCCTGAGGATTAACTTTTTGACTGTCAAGGAAAACTGCAGCAGTGTTTGAGCAATTTAGGGTAAATAATGAAGCAAATGAATCTCAAGAATACACACATAGTTTCAGGAGAAGAAGGGGAGGGAAAAACACAATAATATGAAGTAGCATTCAGCTCTTGAAACTGACCACGACCAGAGTTCAAAATGATGTTTGAATGTTTAGATTACTGTTGAGGAATATCCCTTGTTCTATATTTTTTCCCAACATCCTTTAAATTGGTCCTAAAAATAAATAATAAATAAAAATAAATAATAAATTCAGCTCATTGAGTTATCTTTCAGGTAGTACACAAGGAAGCAGTCATCTAGAACTCTAACATTCCACAATTGCTGATTTGCTAGAACTCTGAATAGTGGGAAGAATCCGTTTAGACTGTCCTAATCCAAACTATAAAATCCATCCAAAACACTCCTTAGGTTTTTCCTGTCATTTTGGCACACACCTTGCATCACTGCATCAGCCCTTTTTGGTGATGGGTTTTTTTCGTGATAGGGTCGCTGAACTATATGCTTGGCTTCCTACCTTGAGCCTCCTGATCTCTGTCTCCTGAGTAGCTGGGATTACAGATGTGAGCTACTGGTGCCTGGCTTTTTCCTGTCACTTCTGATACTCCTTTATTTGTGATATTTAACAAGAGCAATAGTTTTCATTCTTAGGCTCAGTAACTTTCCCATTATTGAATAGAATTTTGTATATGACTGTAACTTTTAACTTTATGCAATTTATAATTTCATTACTATTGTATAACTTTGTAAACACTAAAAAGATACTAAGTCTTGAGGCTTTCAACCATAAACAAACTGAATTTATGCAATACTTTTCTGAATTCTTGTCTTTTTTTCTTACTGTTTATCTATGTTTATTTGAGAAAAGATCTCACCATGTAATCCAGGCTGGTCTTGGACTCAGGATCTCCTGCCTCAGCCTCCCCAACTTCAGGGACCACAGACGTTGCAGCCACCATGCCCAGGTTTTTTTGTTTTTGTTTTTGTTTTTTTGTTTCTTCCCACCTGGGCTCAAAAATTCTCCTGCCTCAGCCTCCTGAGTAACTGGCACTACAGAGGCAGCTTGCTACCACACCCAGCTATTTCTTTTCTCAAACATTTGTTTCCACATGTGGTTACTGCAAAGAGATACAATCATTTGTGTAACAATTATTTCAAAAAGGGCTGGGTGTGGCTCAAGTGGTAGAGAAGGCTTTAGGAAGAGGGATTTGAGAGGAGGATTACACCTATAATCCTGTAATCCCAGCGCTGCAGGAAGTGGAGATGGAAGGATGTAGAAAGTTCCAGGTTTAGCCAACATTGAAAGATCCTGTCTCCAAATATGAATAAATAAAGAAAAATGGGCCCTGTGGTAGCTCACACATGTACTTCCAGCTATGTGGGTGACCTAGATTGGAGGATTTCCAGCGTGGACAAGCACAAGACCCTACCTGAAAAATAAAAAAACTAATGAAAAAGAGCTGGGGGTGGGCTCAAGTGGTAGAGTTAAGAAAGAGTAATATCATGGGGTGAATTTGATCAAAGTCCATTATATGCATGAATGTAAATATAACAATGAAACCCCTTGTACATAATTTAAGCCAGTAAAAAATTTAAAAAATACCCAGGTTCATGCCTATAACCTTAGCTACTTGGGAGGCTGAGATCGGAAGGATCACAGTTTGAGGCCAGCCTGGGCAAATACTTGGAGAACTCCCTTTCTAAAATAACCGGAACAAAATGGACTGGAGGTATGGCTCAAGCAGTAGAGTACCTGCTTTGCAAGCTCAAATCCCTGAGTTCAAACACCAGTTCTACAAAAATAAATAAATAAGAAAGAGGGGGATTGGGGGTCAGAAAGGACAATGGGAATGAAGCCCAATGGTAACCCGCATAGCATGTGTGACGTTCATCCCAAATGCTGCAAACAAAGCAACACAAAACAAGCAAACAAAAACCAGCTTCAAACTGGTGCTGGTGGCCTCATGCCTACAATCCTAGCTACCAGGGAGGCAGAGATCCCAGAGGATCTCTATTTGAAGCCAGCCAGCCAAGACAAATAGTTCAAGAGACTCCATCTCAAAAATACCCAATATGGAGGAAGAAGTTGACACACTATGTAATGGCTGCTGTCTGTCTTCCAGATCGTGGAACTCTTGCAGTGGTATGGAAAAGAGGTTGTTCACAACATAAACAGGTAACCAGCAATGAGGACCTGCCCATTCCAATGGAAAATCCTTATAAAGAACCTCATAAGAAATGTATCTTGTGTGGGAAACATGTAGATTATAAGAATGTGCAGCTTTTGTCCCAATTTATTTCTTTGTTTATGGGATGCATTTATGGAAGACATGTCACAGGTCTTTGTGGGAAGAAACAGAAAGAAATAACAAAAGCAATTAAGAGAGCTCAAATAATGGGGTTTATGCCAGTTATATACAAGGATCCTGCATTTCTCAAAGACCCTAAAGTTTGTAACATCAAATACCGGGAATAAATTATATGAGGTTTATTGCCAATAAACTTATTTTATAGTAAAAAAAAAAAAATACCCAATACAAAATGTCTGGTGGAGTGGCTCAAGTAGTAGAGTGCTGGTCTAGCAAGCATGAGGCCCTGGGTTCAAACTCCAGTACCACAAACACACACAACAAACAGCTTGGTAGAGAGAATGAGGGATCCAAAAAATTCATGCCTGCCTTCCTGGTGTAGCTTAGTGTGTTTGGGAAAATAGACCAAAACAAATCTTCAGGGGATCCTAGTGGATACTTGAAGCCATGGATAGTACCAATTCCTATATAAACTGTATTTTTTCCAATACGCCCTGCCACACTGCATATGGTACCAGAGTTAACCTGTTCTTCCATATTTTATGCCCTGAAGCCTCATTTACATCACTACTCTTGCAATTTAGAGTCTTTTTTTTTTCTTTTTTGTTAGTACTGGGATTTGAACTCAGGGGCTCATGCTTGCTAAGCAGGCACTCTACATTTGTGCTGCTCCACCAGCCCTACTGTCATTATGAAATAAAATAAGGGTTACGTGAACAAAAGCATCTCAATACTGATGTAGTGGCTGTGATCGCCAAGACAGCCACTGAGTGACTCAAAGGCAGGTAGCATACACAGCGTGGGTATGCTGAACAAAAGGATGATTTGTGTCCCAAGCAGGCAAGAGTAAGAAACATGCCAATGATTTGACATGTATGAATTGTTTATATGTACAGTTTCCATTTCATAGGTTCAGATCAAGGTTGACTACACTTAAATAAATTATGGAAATCAAACTGTGGATAAAGGGAGACTACTATGTAGATTTATTAGTTCTTGGGAACTTAGGTTTGAACTCTGAGATGGGATTTTTTTGACTGCTTTTTTTTTTTTTTTGGCAGTACTGGGGTTTGAACTCAGGACTTCAAGCACTTGAGCCATTCATCCAACCCTGCTTGGTGTATAGTTAGGATCAGGATGTCTTTCAGATATGCAAGCTAATTAAAAGTCAGTCAGGGCTGGGGGTGTGGTAGAGAGCTTGCTTTGCAAGGGCAAGGCCCTGAGTACTGCATTCCACAAAACAAAAACAAACAAACCCACCAAACCAAAATAAAAGGTTAATTTAACAGTTATTATGGGAGGGGGGGCTGCTCTACTGCTGGAGCCACACGTCCAGCCCTTGACAGTTATTATTGTTCCTGCAATGGATAAGGTTTGCTACTAGGAAATGGAAAAATATTTTTTAAAAACAAGGCAAGCCAGGTGCCAATGGCTCATGCCTGTAATCCTAGCTACTTGGGAGGCTGAGAATGGGAGGATCAAAGTTCAAGGTCAGGCTGGAGAAATAGTTCCCAAAACCCCATCTCCAAAATAACCAGAGCAAAATTGACTGGAGGTATGGCTTAGGTGGTAAAGCGTTTGCTTAGCAAGAGGCCCTAAATTCAAACTCCATTCCCATAATAATAATAGCAACAACAACAATAATGATAAATTAAGACCTGGGGGTGAATAAGTTCAATTTATTTTTTTATTCTTGTGTGTATGTGTGTGAGACTGGAGTTTGAATTCAAGGTTTTGTGTTTGCAAAGTGGGTGCTCTACTGCTTGAGCTACACCTTCAACCCCCAATTGGGTTAAACTAATGATTCACAATAATATGGGTTGTTTTGCTTTGTTTTGTGGTGCTGGGGTGGAGCCTGGTGCATGCTAGATATATACTGTGCCACTGAGATACACCCCCAGTCCAAATGCCATGGGTTGGTGAAACTTTATTCAATCAGCCCCCTACCATATACACACATGTAAGTA